ACATTGACTATCAAGTGCAAGGATGACGACTGTAGTAGAAAACGAGTAATACGAAGGATATGATACAGTCATATCATTTGCTCGCTTTAAAACTGGTGGAGAACGGGTTTGGCACCGCGCCAAACGCAGCCGCACTGACACGCCCAACCGTCCGCAGCGAACTACACTATACAACGTCGCAAAGTATGAATGCGGCTTTAAACAGCGTCCATAGTTCACGTGTCTCATACAGCTGGAGGAAACCCAAAGGTGGAAAGAATGCGTATTTACCTTGCAGCAGAAAGAAATGTGCGATAGTGCGAACATAGCCATAGCTCGTCATCGCCTGTTTACCACCGAGGTCTGTTTCGAAATCAGTTCCTCACGCATAGCACGAAATCACGTGAAATCACGCGACCTCTGAATCGCAGGTGTCAGAGACTATGAACGCTGCCTTAGATCGCGCCTATATTGTGCGAATTTGGGAGAACAGGAGAATCGGCGTGTGCGCGAAGACCACCTGTCTGACCACCTCAGAGCCGTTTCTACCGCCCGGATCGGTAACATGAGTGGGATAGGTTGGGATCTCAACAGGAAATGTTCTGGTCGTTGGTGTGGAGAGGCCGTATGGGACCTGAAAAACCCCTTCTAGTCGTTGATTTTTTTCCCGTCTCACCCGCACTATACCTCTTAGACCACCTTCCTGCTCCGCTCGTCAGCAAATTTTCGGGAACGTTTGGTAAGATAATCGGTCGCTGTGAAAGGGGTCGTGCCAAAGCACAAATTTTGGAGGGTCCCATTCAGAAAAAATTCCTTCCCAACGAGAGAAGAAGCCTTGAACACGACGGAAACCTGGACTAATATCGAACCAGTGACCCAATTCTAGATCGCTCCGTGCAAGGACTTTGGCTGTGCTAGTTGCGATCGTCGCATTTGCATAGACGAGCAGCAGCGAGAAAGTGTATTATTACATTGTGTGTGGGGAACCATCGAGCAGTTATTTCAATGAAAATGAAGTTATATGGGCGAATGTGAACGCTGCCCTCATAGAGCCTGAGCGAGCAAACGAATCAAATTTTTGAACGTACCTGCTCTGCGATGGGACATGGTCTGGCGCTAGGGCGCCCTTATTACCCGGCCTCTAGTACTATGAAGACGACCATGTTGGGTGGGAAATTTGCAGTTCGAATTCCACACAGGAAGTCAAAGTCTTCACTGAAGTGTGCCAGCAGACACAGCATAATGACCTGTTAGATAAGGGCAAATGAGGGTCACAGGGCATAAGGGCACACATGTTGCGAAAGGTCAAAATCCGTGAGTATGCCCAGTCGCTCAGCAGGCAGCTCAGGAAACAAGGTCTGTGACCCACCTGGTGCCCGCGAGGTCCACTGTCGACCGCCCTAGCCCTTCAGTTCGCGTACAGCTGTTCTATTTTCCTCGTCTGCGCCACAGCCCTTCTGTGGTCTCACCTTTTCGGGCAAGATAACCAGGGCCGTCGCACGTTAGGAAACCCCTCCAAGGTAGACTTCGCGGTGAACCAGCGAACAGTTAGTAGGCTGGGAAACCAAAAATGTACGTGCTAGCTGACAAAAAAAGAGGAAATCGTCGAAAACGCTCCTGATAAGGCCCTCCTTGTGCCAAGCGAGAGACAAAGAATCGAGGTGGATATCGGGCGAGAGGCCAGAGAAAGCAGACTCTGCTTTGAACGAAAGATGGTATTTCGTCGGTGGAGGGAACAGAGTGGTATCTGGCGTGGAAAAAAATTCCTGATTGCTGACTTTTCCGGTTTCACGCCCTATATGCTCTGCCGTAGTTATGGCGTCGCAAAACTCTTGTTTGGTGTCGTCTACCCCTCCCCTCTGCACGACGGCTATATTTTCGGAAATTTGGAAAGAATGTAGGGTACGTTGTCAAAAGAAACCGAGGAAATGAATGGATCATACGTATTTCGGAAAATTCCCCCAAGGCTAATACGTGCCTTGATGGTTGCTGCTTTGCCCACCTCGGAACCTCCTCCTTGAAAATTCCATCGGTTTCCAGAGTATTCTTCAGCACCTTTAGATGCTTCGATAGTCGTTATTTTTCTGTCTTTGTGAGCGTACTTTTTGGCACGAAGATTGAAATTCCAGACAGGCCAGCTTCCATGCCGACTACACCTTTGGCACTAAACGCCAGTTTTATCCATTCTCGAGACAAGTTGACCTTAGTTTGTCGGCATGCTCCTCTGGATGTTCCCTCCCTTTAAAGAGCTTCACTTCCACTGCATCAAATTGAAATCGGCGTGAGTTCCGATGTTGCGTACGTGGCACACCGTTTGCGCTCACAAGACGCTTAATTATCCTCATTTCTTTGCACATACTTGCGTCATTTGTTTTTATTTATTGGAAATCTGTTGTGACGTATTGGAAGTAGTTTTGTTGGCGGGATTGTTTGACAATTCCACCTTTGTTCTTATTTTTTGCCAAGGAAGTCAGTTTTTAGGTGCATCTTGTATTTTAGAGACTGCCCGTTAAGTCTGCAACAGGGGAAATTTTAAACCGAGTTGTCAGGGGTCCTTTTCTGTGATTTCGGGACCTAGTGTGCTGCCCTACCACCGTTTGCTGCCCAACCACCATTTTCGTTGTGGGCTTTGGAGGGGAAAGGAGACTTGTACATTGGCTGACCCCAGCAATTCATTGTATGGGTTAGCACTCAATAAACCACCAGGTTAATTTTCCGACTGGAAATCGAGTCGTGCTGCATCTCAAAGAGGACTGATCAACAGCGAAAGCCTCATGCGTTCATACCTTTTTTCGTCAGCCTTTTTGAGCGTACAACAGTGTTTTCAGCGAATAGGAAGGTATGGATATTGATCTGGCATTTCGAGCTGTTTCTCAAGGAGTTTTGAACTTCTAGAGGGCAGTCGCTTCTGTACGCTCAAAACGCCGACGCACAGTATGAACGCAGCATCTTCATTTTTGTATTATATGGAAAATTTTCAGATATGAGTGAAGCGATTGACTGGTCAACATCTGAACCACCCAATCGTTACGTTCTTGCGTACGGTACGCAGCATTGTCTAATTGAACAAGACTATGATCACTCGATCTATGGGGAATGCGAGTACATCGCAAGCAGAACTCTAATCAAGTGCAAATCTGTCCGCAAAAAAGCTGATCTGAAAGCCAACGGTGGAATTTGTGAAATGGTTGGTCTTAATTTCTTATGTGGGTTTTCTTTATGGTAACGCTTCAGTGAGATTCTCTTTAATACATTTTATTTCAGCACACAAGATTCCATGATTCCATACGAAACAGATTTCTTTGTGAGGAGCGCCGCCTCATGCAAGATAGTGGGCAGAGTAAACCGAAGTACAGTCCTTTTCTCAACCACGATGGTCTCATTTGGTAAATATATATTTCTCGAATGTGTTGCTTATGCTTCTACCTTAATCTCTTCATTGCAAGTCATCCCTGGTCCTCTAGCTTTCTCCAACAGGTTTACAATCAGAAATAAAAGTACTTTGCTATGATTCGTTTTCCTATGGGAAAGACCTGCGATGCCGTTAACACCAGAACGACCAGCGAAAAAAATGTATGAGGAGTGAGAAGGGAGATAAATTACTCTCTCGGGTCTCTTGTCACCGATTCTTATAGAGAGAGAGATAAAGGAGCTGACACAGGGGCAGCACTGATACGAGGTTGAGCCATAAGCGGGTGCATAACCGTGTAAGTCGTCGTACTTCGAGGGATTTTTGCACAAGTTCCATGCCTGCTTTTTTACCTGTTGGCGCTTAAATTTCTTCCTACGTGAGAATTCATGCCAAGAACATCTCAATTCCACGAAGTGCAGGCTAAAACCCTGGCGAAATAGTGAATTTTCTAAGAACCCTCGATCGCATTCAGTGCTCCTTTCAAGAAAAGAAAAGCAGGCTGGTAGTATTACTGTGGTTCATATTTGTGCGGAATGCGTCAAATTTTGCATTTAGAGCAAGAGCACCAGCTCAAAATCACGCTTCTCAATGAGTTGATTTATCTTGTTCTTCTATTCCATTTTTCTATATGGACTTCGCTCTTACTTCTTCCCAATCAGTGTACTTTTCTAACGTCAGTTTTTCTTGTTAGTGAGGAGTTTCCATGGTTGATGCCAAGTCACCGCTGGGAGTCTCCATTGCCTCGTACAATATACGACGATGCACCAGATGACGATCCCGTTGCGCCATTGAGGTATTCATTTCGTTTTCCATCTTTCGCTAGGGTACTGTTTGTCATTATTCATTCTCGTAACAACGATTTCGCAGGCACGCAGGAATATACACTGATAGAGACATACTGAAGATGCGAAAAGCGTTAACAGAACGAAAAATCGAGTGTCTAAAATTACATGGTGAGATGATGTTGGAAAGAGCTCGCAGGAGAGCGAATGACTTGTTCAGCAAGAATGGAAAAGGTATTTCTTGGATGTCAACAAATTAATCTTTCCTTCTTGGATGCTGCTTTTCAAGACTTGATTTGGGAAAGACAGTGTTCCATGTTAAGGTTCACAAAAGAACAAGCCTGTTTACAATTTTATGACCTACACTTGCGCGAACTCTTGCTCGAGGAAACATTAACTCTCCCCCCTCACGGCGCATGGCCCCAACGTATGATGCCTGCTGCGATTCTCGGCGGATTCCTAGGCATGTTCTGTGGATACCGTAATTCTGGCACTTCTGCCCAATCCGCGCGCTTCTTTCAAATTTCGATACGAATCCGATACGTAGCTTCTTCTTCTGTCTACGGTTCGTCACCATCTTTCGGACTCGTACCATGTATGAACGCGATGATATGAACACTATTCAGACGAGGATCCAAGACAGAAATATTGCCTGGCGCATTAAAGGGACTGAGTTTAAGTTGTCCGTGAACCTATGTACAAGTCTTTTCCCCTCCAAAGCCCACAACGAAAATGGTGGTTGGGCAGCACACTAGGTCCCGAAATCACAGAAAAGGACCCCTGACAACTCGGTTTAAAATTTCCCCTGTTGCAGACTTAACGGCAGTCTCTAAAATACAAGATGCACCTAAAAACTGACTTCCTTGGCAAAAAATAAGAACAAAGGTGGAATTGTCAAACAATCCCGCCAACAAAACGACTTCCAATACGTCACAACAGATTTCCAATAAATACAAAACAAATGACGCAAGTATGTGCAAAGAAATGAGGATAATTAAGCGTCTTGTGAGCGCAAACGGTGTGCCACGTACGCAACATCGGAACTCACGCCGATTTCAATTTGACGCAGTGGAGGTGTGAGCTCTTGGAAGGGAGGGAACATCCAGAGGAGCATGCCGACAAACTAAGGTCAACTTGTCTCGAGAATGGATAAAACTGGCGTTTAGTGCCAAAGGTGTAGTCGGCATGGAAGCTGGCCTGTCTGGAATTTCAATCTTCGTGCCAAAAAGTACGCTCACAAAGACAGAAAAATAACGACTATCGAAGCATCTAAAGGTGCTGAAGAATACTCTGGAAACCGATGGAATTTTCAAGGAGGAGGTTCCGAGGTGGGCAAAGCAGCAACCATCAAGGCACGTATTAGCCTTGGGGGAATTTTCCGAAATACGTATGATCCATTCATTTCCTCGGTTTCTTTTGACAACGTACCCTACATTCTTTCCAAATTTCCGAAAATATAGCCGTCGTGCAGAGGGGAGGGGTAGACGACACCAAACAAGAGTTTTGCGACGCCATAACTACGGCAGAGCATATAGGGCGTGAAACCGGAAAAGTCAGCAATCAGGAATTTTTTTCCACGCCAGATACCACTCTGTTCCCTCCACCGACGAAATACCATCTTTCGTTCAAAGCAGAGTCTGCTTTCTCTGGCCTCTCGCCCGATATCCACCTCGATTCTTTGTCTCTCGCTTGGCACAAGGAGGGCCCTAGGAGCGTTTTCGACGATTTCCCTCTTTTTTTGTCAGCTAGCACGTACATTTTTGGTTTCCCAGCCTACTAACTGTTCGCTGGTTCACCGCGAAGTCTACCTTGGAGGGGTTTCCTAACGTGCGACGGCCCTGGTTATCTTGCCCGAAAAGGTGAGATGTGCAAGTTCACAAAAGGCCACAGAAGGCTGTGGGCGGGAGAGGAAAATAGAAAGTTGATACGGGTTGAAGGGCTAGGGGGTCGAAGTGACTCGCGGGACAGGTGTGTAAAGACCTTGTTTCCTAGTCCTGTGAGGATGCATACTCAGGCATTTTGACCTTTCTCAACGTTTCCCTTATGTGTTTTTAAAAGTCATTTGCTTTCTGTGCACTAGTGAAGACTTTGACTTCCTGTGTGGAATTCGAACTGCAAATTTCCCACCCAACATGGTCGTCTTCATAGTACTAGAGGCCGGGTAATAAGGGCGCCCTAGCGCCAGACCATGTCCCATCGCAGAGCAGGTACGTTCAAAAATTTGATTCGTTTGCTCGCTCAGGCTCTATGAGGGCAGCGTTCACATTCGCCCATATAACTTCATTTTCATTGAAATAACTACTCGATGGTTCCCCACACACAATAATAATACACTTTCTCGCTGCTGCTCGTCTATGCAAATGCGACGATCGCAACTAGCACAGCCAAAGTCCTTGCACGGAGCGATCTAGAATTGGGTCACTGGTTCGATATTAGTCCAGGTTTCCGTCGTGTTCAAGGCTTCTTCTCTCGTTGGGAAGGAATTTTTTCTGAATGGGACCCTCCAAAATTTGTGCTTTGGCACGACCCCTTTCACAGCGACCGATTATCTTACCAAACGTTCCCGAAAATTTGCTGACGAGCGAACAGGAAGGTGGTCTAAGAGGTATAGTGCGGGTGAGACGGGAAAAAAATCAACGACTAGAAGGGTTTTTCAGGTCCCATACGGCCTCTCCACACCAACGACCAGAACATTTCCTGTTGAGATCCCAACCTATCCCACTCATGTTACCGATCCGGGCGGTAGAAACGGCTCTGAGGTGGTCAGACAGGTGGTCTTCGCGCACACGCCGATTCTCCTGTTCTCCCAAATTCGCAAAATATAGGCGCGATCTAAGCCAGGCGCTTCATAGTCTGACACTGCGGATTCAGAGGGGTCAGCGTGATTTCACCTGATTTTGCGTGCTTATGCCGTGATGAGCAACTGAGTTTCTCGAAACAGGACCTCGCGGCTGCGTAAACAGCCCGATGACGAGCTTATGGCAATATGTTTCGCCATATCGCACGATTTCTTTCTGCTGCCAACGGTTAATACGCATTTCTTTCGCCTTTGGTTTCCTCCAGCTGTATGAGACACGTGAACTATGGACGCTGTTTAAAGCCGCATTCATACTTTGCGACGTTGTATAGTGCAGTTCGCTGCGGACGGTTGGGCGTGTCAGTGCGGCTGCGCTTGGCGCGGTGCCAAACCCTTCGTCCATCAGCTTTTAAAGCGAGCAAATGTGATGACTGTATCATACCCTTCGTATTACTCGTTTTCTAGATACTTCTTGTCACATTGCGCTCCAACAAGAAGCAGAGAAGAGCTTTGCTGCTGTGCACACTCATTCTGGCTGACACGCCCAACCGTCCGCAGCGAACTACAGACGAGAATGCGCGCTAATGAAGAGCATAGATATGGATTTGGGCGAGCAACGCAAATATCTGGCATTCGAGTCGGGGCAGTGCGCCCCGAAGTAGTAGTGAGCAATTGATTGAGTCTATTCCTTGATCCCCACTATTGTCCACTGTCGCAATCTATGGACGTTACCTAGCATAACCATTGATTCTGCTTTTGGTCGAGGATGCGGGTGAGCTCACGAACTTTCCAATTTCCGTTCAGGCTCGTCATCTAAGCTTTGCGCATAATGGGTATCGCTTTATACCTTGTGGGCGTTCAGGGTTTGGGAGTAGGTAGGGGGGTACAAAGGAAATTGTTCTTTCTTGTTCCTGGTTTGAGACAGTCCAAGAGAGCATAACGAAATTTTACAAACTCGGTGGAAGGGAGCTGAAGAGTCTTGGATATGTTCTCGTTTTTGTGCTATTTAGTGGGACTATCGACAATACTGTCAAGACGAGTACTTCTTGGACAGTTCCCGCGATCAACTGGTCGGCAAAATTCTTCTTTCGTGCATTTGGCATCCCATCGAAAAGACTTATTACTTGGACAAAGGCGAGAGTCAAACGGCTGTTTAGAACGGCTAGAAACGCGCGACTTTTGTGGGCTTTGTTATTTTTAATTTGCAGGGCAGTGACTTGCACGGAGATTACATGCCAGCACTTTGTTGCTTGTAACGTCGTAGGACGATTCCATACGCTCGTCTGAGAGGATCTTAACTCGTGGATCTCTTGAGAGCTCATGAGTCGTTCTGCTTTCTCGGATACCTCTTTGAGAAACAATGAGACAGTAGCAGTCCCTTCTTAGGCCATTGTTGAGCGCTGCTTGAATTCAGTAGCGATGCATTCGAATTGGTGCAGAAGCTCGTCGTGAATTAATTACCGTAGTCCTAATTTCATGTCCAGACTTCACGAAAGTGTTCCAGCGTTCTTGTTCTTGTTTTTTTTCTCTCTGGTATTGGATAGCTTTCAGCGCTTGGATATGCAAAGAAACGATTTGTGGGCCAAGGGCTGCACAGAGGCGGCGGAGTGTCGATTTTTCTTTTCATTTTTAAGCCTTATTACTGCGTGAGTTTTGGCGTCTGCGTTTCTCTTTTTTTTCTCCTTGACACTTCCGTATTTCGTCCTTGTTTCGTCAACATAGCTCACTGAGCCCCCGGGATTGACGAATTAACGATGGTTCGTCTGAGGGAGGGGCGAAGTGGACCATCCGTGCTTTGGGGGGATTCTTTTTCCATCATTTGATTCTTTTTTTTTCTAATGACCAGAGAGTTCGGAGAACTCGTACAATGAGGCTGTGTGACTGTCAAGGAGAGGTTTGTTTAGGACGTTCTCGTGGTTTCCTTTGCTTCCTTCTCTAATGGAGATTCATTTCTTGGCAATTGCTTCATAACCTCATCGCAGGAATCGTCCTCCTATTGCGCAGAAGGAAATAATGTTCAGTTGCGTTAAATTACCTTGTTATGAATAATTGCAGCCAGTTTCAGGTTGACGACGATCCGTCCATTCTGGCCCACTGACTCTGAGCGATGGAGGATAAAGTTGAATATCCTCCAAACTGTTTACCAATAGCAAGTACAAGTGGGAACAGTGAACTCGTGAAAAGGCTGAGGGTAAGTTCTTGAAGATTCTGCTCCAAATCTCTTGCAAAGCCGTTCAGTAAGGTTTTGCTTCATAATTTGGCTTCCAGATTCTGTCAGAGGCCCTACAAGTGTCAGATACCAACGATGAATGCGGTCGCCCTGACCGATACCGCGGCTTGATCTCTCATCTTTCCAATACTCGCTTTCTTGCAAACAACAGCAAAGATGTGCAGATTTGGTTGGCGTGCTGTCTAGCGGACATTCTTCGCGTTTTTGCTCCCAATGTTCCTCTTGGAGATCCTACACAATTGAAGGTTAGTGGGAGCGTATTGTTTTCGATTACTCTCCTTTTAAATTATTTTTCTATTCTTTTGATCGGTACATTTTTAAGGAGGTGCTACTCTTCATAGTCAAAACTCTGAAAGGGTTGGAATCGCCGTCTAATCCTTTATTTCGCCGCTACTTCTACTTGCTCGAGGTGTTTTTTTTTCTTTTTTGCCTTTTTCTCTCAATAATTGACCAGCAGCTCTTCAGAACCTCAACGTAGTCAGCACGTTAGTGTTGTGTCTGGAGCTACCTCATGACGAATCCAGTCAAGTGATTCGTTTGCTTCTCAAAACTGCTATGGAAATTGCTAACGGGAGAGACTGGAAGGGGGAAGTCCGTGAAACGTTGGATGATAACGCTTCTACTGATGATGATGGAGAAGACAAGAGCGAAAGTCGAGACAAGGTGGATATTGTTTTCTGACTGAATATGGTTAAATTTGACATTCATTATTACAGGTTATCGCTCTTCTAATAGGAATTATCTCAAAGTTGCTGAGGGATGTGGATCAGGTCTCTACGGAAGTACTAGATGTGTTGTTTTTCTATCTTATTAACCCGCAAAAGGTGATTGCAATTCTTTCATTAGCTTATGTTGCTAATTACACTCTGGTCGCTGCGGGTGATAGGGCGTGTCCGCGCGGCTGTGTTAGTCGCGCCGCCAAATCCATTCTCCACCAGTTGTTCAAAGATAGGTCCCGCGATCAAGTGGTCCGCGAAATGCCTCCGTGCATTTGGCATCGTTGTCCGCATTCGCAGAGAATATACCACTTTCGTCACTCGAAACGGCGAATAAAGAAGCTAGAGACGCGTGATTATTGACCACGATTACTTTCACTCTGCAAGACAACTTCTTACAAGCCGAACTGCGTGTGTACATAGGGTTGCCTGAAGCCTCGTAGAGTGGTTTCCTGTGATCTTGCCGGGAAGTAGTTCCTCAATACTGCTGATTGGGCGCGCCGACGTCCGACCAAGACCACTGCAGGGGTAATGTTCAGGCTCCTTTTCTATAATGAGACTTATGGGCTAATGGTTCATGTTTGGGCATCTACTACCCGTAACACTTGTTGTGACCATATCTGGTGAAAAACCACTAATGCGAACGACATGATACAGTGATACAGTGTTGTCACTTGCTGGATGAAAAAAGAAGGCGCCAAATGAAGCCGCGCTGACACGCCCCGTCATCTCCGACGAACAACTCTACATAGCTCTGTTGCATTGTCTTTCTAAGAAGGGCAAGTACGAATTTTTTCATCATTTCAGCTCAACAATCGTGAATCGTACAATATGGCTCGACAAATCATACAAGTCTCGCAAACCTCTCTTGAGGCGGCTATACAGTCTGTAAGTAGATTACACATTATAGTGATTGATAGCAAAAATGTTATCGTACCTTTCACATGCAGTTCGCAACACTTTTATAGGTCAAAGATCGCCCAGTGATCGGGAGTAAATTGAAAATAGCGCACATTAAAAAAAAAACCCACGTTTGACGGGCTATTGCCATTTCTACCCTTTTACAATGAGGATAACATTGGTCATAGAATCTCCGCGTGTCTATCGAAACACGTCAAGCTTTGTTATATCCCTGCTCCGCCCATCAATCATTCATTTCGTGCTCATTGGTGGTTTTTCACAGAGGATCAAAATGTGGACGAAGGGTATGTGAATGAGATTTGTACCGAAAGTGAATGCTGAGGGAACTTTGAATGAAGTGCAACACAGACCTCCGTGTTGAAACTACCATGGATTCATAAAGCGCTGCGATGAAAAGTGCTGTTTAATCAGATGTGAAGAGTCAAGCCAGTGAAAAATTTTGGAAAGAACTGAATGACCAAGCAAAATGAGTATTCGAGACTTTCCAGTATCATTCGAAGCTTTCAGTTACTAACGCAGTCGATACTTGCTGGAGGCCTTCCGAGGGAATGCGATATGGTAGGAAGTACTCTAAAAAAGCTTTACGACGTTATATTGGAACTGCATGGAATTGCTCCAGAACTTATGGCTCCTGTATTGCCTCCAATATCTTCAGCATTACGTGTGAGCTTCTTTCATGTGAATTCATTTTGCTTTGAGACTTCGTATTTTCAAAGTGAGTCTAGGGTGATTGTGAAAAGAGCTGGTCGAGTGATTAAAAAAACTCTTAGGAAGCGCTTCACCATAAGTAAGGGAGTTCTAAACATAGAGAAGGTAGAGAGAGCTAACGACTCTTAACGAGTAGTTCGTCATAGCGTGGGTCCAAACGCAGTGAGGAGAAACTTAAATCACTGTGAGCAGCGCAAGGACTCGCCAGCGCAAGGACTCGCCTATTAACTGGTCTATAACTCAAGAAAGAGTCACTTGTAGAGCTGGAGCCCGGAAAACTGCTTTAACCCTCTTATTCAGGTTTGTTTGTATTGAGCCTGTTTTGCGCCGAAGTGCGTTCATACTTTGTGGCAGCGCTCCGAGCGACTGGGGAAAATACGGGCATCGATTCAGCTGTGAGCATACGACCTTTGAACGTTGTCATTTTGCACGTTCGCCAGATGTTCAGCGATAATTATTACCTGTTCTAGAATAGAATGCATTCTATACATTCTTAGTCACTCAGAACGCTGAAAACGCTGGTGAATGCTCAAAATGCTAGTGGATACTAGGAACGGTGACGCTGAAAGTGCTGGGAGACCCTCGAAACGCTAGATCGAAACCCGTACTTCCCTAGTCACTGAAAACGATGACAGGTGCCTGAAACGCTAACGCGAAGTATGAACGCGCTCTTGTCGCATCGCGTACGTGTTGTGTGCTGCTTACGATCAAGTTTTTGTATAGAATTCATGAACATTGCTAGTGGGTCCCAGGTTGCCCATCGACTGCTATCCATTTTGAATTGCTGAGTAACCATTCACACTGCACGTGATTTTTTTGTTTAGGCAGAGGATGATCAACAGCGTTTGCTGGCCACGAAGCTCGTCGGTAAATTGGTATCTAATGCAAAAACTCGGTTTTATGATGATCATCCGAAACTCTGGAAAATCTACATGGACAGGTCATATTTACATCATAATGCCCCTTAAACTACGATCATTTGCGTTCTCACCGAACACAG